CTATATAACTCCAATCATGATATTTGTTCTAATAAATCATGTTATTTCAAGTGTCACGTAAAAATATCACTAATTAGCAAATGCGCAAATTTATCTTAAAAAAACACAATTATACCTTTTTAAATCTTATTAAACAGAATTATACATTAACAAATCGCGCATAAAGATATTGTTTAAAAATCTTTTTGTAGATTGTGCAAATAAAACTTTATTTTATAATTATTAAATGTTCAGCTCACTTTGTGGAAAGTAATAGATAGAAACATCGCGTTTTTATTTTGCAATATTATGAGAAACTCGATCGGAGAAAGATTACTTTTCCACTTCTTTATCTCTTCGTATTTTATTCTTCAAATGTCAACATTGTTGTTGTCTTAACTTTACGATGTACTGTAATTAGGAGAAAAGCTAGTCTATCGAAAATTACAATGGGAAATCTTGCAAAGACCAAACTGTCTTAGCTTAACTGCGGACGAGGATTCTTTAGCGATGAACACAGCAAGTTGCGATGCGACTTCGTTCGTGGAGCACAATATTCGAAATCTAGTTTACAGAGCCTCGATGTGCGTTACTTTCTGCATTTTCTCCGTAAAACCGTGAAACTACCATAAATTAACGATCTTATAAAAGTTAAGGCTATTTTCTGTTCTTGGCTGTGCAATGTGGTCAACTATCGTAACTAACTAGTCCGCACTATTTCGGATTAAATTGCTCGAATCAATATTGGAAACGTTGGAATCAATATTCTCTCTTAATTAAAACTTCTAAAATTTAATTTTATAAATAAAACTAAATAGAACTTTAGATAGGAACAATTTTAAACTAAACTAAATAATAAATTTTACCTGGAATAAAGTTAATTTTACATCCAGCTTACATTTCTCTCTTTAGAATACATCTAGAAAGAAACATAGTGTTTCCATGTCCGCAACAATCGTTAAAAGTATAATCAAATGTGCAGAGAAATTTTCTAGACAACACAAAATTCAAGACGTACGGATCAATACAATTTGTTTTTATAAGATGTTTTTATATTTTACGTTGTATCTGTATTTCGATCGTATTAATTATTTAACAACATAAAAAGTAAACCTATTAAAAAAATATCAGAAACGTAGTGCATAGTACACTCAGAGTGCAGTATACTTAGCAATTTCAACTTCCGAAAAATGATGGCGCACGGAAGAAAGAGTCGGCAAAGAAGAATTTATCTAGGGAGCACATAGTCTACTACACTTTATCTCCTTCTTATAAATGAAACAGGTTATTTATTATCCAATAAAGAGACACTCCTGGCACGCGGCACCCTGCTAGATACTTTACGGGGGTGGCAAACCCTGACGTGTAAATATCGAGGTTTCTCCGCGTCCCTCTCTGGAGACCACTGCGCACGGCGTTCCATCTTTTACACGAGTTTTCGACAGCGCATATTCCGGCGCGTCGCAACGACGGAAATCTCAGCTCACAGAGAAGGATCCCACCGGGGATCCTAATTACAATAACGAAACACGCTTAATTCATTATTTTAACACTTGGATGTTGCGCTATCCGGATAATTAACGATCTCTATCTTGTTTAATGTAAAATTGTACGTTCCGCATTTTATAATTTTCATTTATTTGGCAAAAATAGTTTCCCGGTAAACACATACAGCAGCGCGTTTCTATCAAATTCTCATTTCTGAAATTGCGCGCCCGGTCAGCCTTATCTCTCAGACGGATGTCATACTTGTTAGAGCGCTTTTGTGTGTGCGGTGGCACGAATGAAAAATTGTTACGCGGCCAGGTCATTCGACAAAGTGGCCTTCATTAAAACTTTGTACAGCTTTATGGAGGCGACTAGCCTCGAGGTTGTTTTGCACATAGTGGTGAACATGTCGCGTCCGAGACCAGGGCAACGAAGCGAGCCGATATGGCCTGTGTAGATTGCGAGATATGAAAATCCAGGATTATCAAGCGCTTTGCCTGCCGAGCATGAAAGACGCGACAATTTAATCATTGCGCGCACGCGCGCTGCAAAAAAAAAACAAAAAAAGAAAATGTGAAGCAGCAAGTCGCTACTTATCCGCAGCATCATTGCTTCGATTTTTCTTTCTCGAGCCCGTGAGCTCTCGCGATTTTCCGCTCTCGCTGGCACTCGCGCAGCCACGCACATATCGCGCGGAAATTCGTAACGAAGTTTGCGAAACGGCGCTGATTGATTTTCTCTCGAAACTCGATATCAAATTACTACCACGAGCGTGGGAAACATCTCGAGCATCAGAGATCGACCGGAATAAACATAATGGCGGTCTCTTTATCTCGAGGAATAACTGCGGTAAAATTAAAAGTATTAAATTAGAGAAATGATGCAAATTAGAAGTAATGACCTTTCTACTTGATTCAGTAATTCTCGTGACTACGTGTAATTATTCGAAGAAATAAAACTTTTGACATCACACATCTCACGACAAATTTAAGAAAGTAATTGTCCGAAGAAAGAAAGTCGAGGGATTTTCGCATGAATTTGAAATTTAAAAGAAAGTCATCGAGCGTGAACGGCGCGGTTTTGCTTCGGAGCAGAATAATGACCGCGACGTTTTTCGTAACGACATCCTTTGAGATTTCCGCTCGAAGGATGTATGCAGATCATCTTAAGTTGCGATTCTTTTTGTGTTACTCTTTCCTTCGCGATCTTTAATTGATCCTATTAATACGTCTTTCGCATAACTCAGACTTCCTGCACGCTTTCGTTCCGACTAGACTTTCGTCAATTTCTCGCGAAAGAATTCATATTCGACAGCGTAATGCTCTTCCCGGGTCGCGTTGAGTTCAACTGCAACTTTTGAATTCGTCGCGATCCTCGACCGAATTTTCCACTGAGGAAAGGCACGCGAGCTCATGCTGCTACTTGGAAAATATAGATTTTCTTGTAGTACGCCGTTGCTTTGTATTTTCATCCCCACGCACGCTCTTAACATTTTCACGGATTGTGACTTATTCTCGACAGAGAGGCAACGCATACCTTCGACGCAATCCTCTTTCTCGAAAGCAAAGAAGCCAAAGTACAAGGCACGTCTGCATCTTAAGACGGTGGAAAGAGTTACGAAGAATTTGATAACAACCTATAACTAGCGTCCGTAGCTTCTGCGACGGAAAAATTTTTGTTTCGCTAAAGCGGCATTTCGATGCAGATGGGGAAACAGCAAGGAGAAAAGCGTTTTGCGCAAAAATTTTCTATTGAACGTATCTCATTATGTTTCACAAAATACCGCACTTTTTCATTAAAAACATAACGAAAAACGCCGTTATTCAGGTACAAGGTAGAAATAGACTTTTAGGAAAATCATGCGGATATATATGTGGGGACACCCCCAGTGATTGCGTTACCTTTTTTCCGTGCCACTGGTAGGTAGCGGCGTTAGATCTTTTCGTGGACTTTTATCCGCTTTCCTCATTCCGCTCTGTAACTCTTACATGAATCCTATCTCCGTATTTTTCTTCGCCCTTGATGTTCTCTCTCTCTCTCTCTCTCTCTCTCTCTCTCTCTCTCTCTCTCTCTCTCTCTCTTTCTCTCTCTTTCGGAGAGCAACCCCTGCCGAGCTGTTATATCTACACACGACCATTGTTGGATCCTGATGGCGGATACATCTCTTCTCTTCTTCTAATATTTTCCGATACAACGTCGAAGCTGAACCAAGGTCGCGCGCACCACCACACACATCCGATTTGTTCTTTTCCCAATTCGACCGTTGTTATTTACGTGTTATTGTTGAACGGCATGCTATTGTTGGATATATAATCCAATCGTAGTACACTGAGGAAAAAAGCTATCGTGAAATAAAAAATATATTTTATTTTATTCGAAAAAACTAGTTTTATGCAGTTAGTGCGCTAATGACGTATTTACTTGTATTCAAAATTTCTAGTTTTTAAATTTAAGATTTATTTATACTTAAAAGTATATGTATAATTTTTAACTATTTGGTTTTATATTTCAATTTATATTTTAATGTTATAAAAAATTTAGTAGAATGTGTATTTTTTAATTAGAAACAAAACTGTAATTGTTTAGTTTTAAAAATCTCAATAGACTTTAATTAATAAATGATAGTGTGTGTGTGTATTTTATGAGAACAGTATTTAACATAAAAAATGTATAAGTATAGAATAATACATTTAATAATAATAATATGTATATTTACTTGAAAGTAAATATTTTTGCTCAACTAAAATACACAATTTCCATCAAAAGCCAAAGAGAAGAAGAAAGAGAAAGAAAGAAAGAGAGAAGTTTCAAAACATTATATTTTCTTGATCTAAACTAATTTTTTCTTTAGCGTAATGATTTTATATAAAAGATATTTCTAAATTGGACATATATGTATATTTTACTGATATTGGAAAAGTCAAAATCAATGAGAACAGCATACATATTTATGTATAACTTTTTGCCTTTTCATAAAAATTTCACTTTTTCAATTTTAATTTAATTTTTCAAAAGCAGAAACAAAACTGTATCTTTTAGTTCTAATGAGTTATATAATAAGGCCTATTACAATATCGCGCGAATTGATTATTCACCAAATATATCTGTAGAAATGTTTTCAAAACACGTTGGGGTCGCGCGATTTATAGACGGAAATACTATTCCGCTGAAATGACCAACGCCATCAAAGGCTAATGAATTCGGTCAGAGTAATTCCTATCCATTATCTCGCTTGTAGAAGCTCCGTTCGCGCGGTCTGTTCAATCCAATCTTTTGTTTCTTTTCCCTGTTGAACCGAATCTCTTTTCTTCTTTCATATATTCTTTTCTCTCGATTCTCCAATTGTCTACGATTCATTTAAAATAATTTTTCACGTCAACGACATCTTCGGTAACGTTAAAAGAAACGCGAAATATTATTACGACATTATCTATCAGATTTATATAAAAAGAAATTATTCTCACATATCGATAGACTTTAGAGCCATATTTAAAAACTCGGACATTGAGGATAGAATTTTGCTTTTGTTCCAGGCTTTGGCCGGGGTACGCCAGTGCGCACAACAATCTTGGAACTCTCACGATAGACGATCAAGCGGAGTATCACTTTTTAGCGGCTATCAACGCTCAACCTGGACACGTGAATGCTCATTATAATCTCGGACGATTGTACAGGTCAGCGAAAACAAATAATTGCATTCTCTTTCTGCGCATGAATGCGTACAAATCTCGCAGATTATCAATTGCAAATAATTAATCAATCGGTTACCTCAACTGTCAACGCGGCTTGGCGAATTGCATTATATCAATTAATTATTAGAAGCCGTGTTGCTCGTTTTGACACGCGATAAAAGTGTATCTTTCCATCTCGTAGTTCGCCATTTCATCAGCGAGTTATCGATCCGACGCGCGCGAGTCGCGTTTCCGACGGTAAATTTAGTGTGGGCTGTAATTCCGGTGGGCATGGTTAAAATTAAAGTTTAATTAACGCCTTCCTACTTGATAAATTAAAGTTTAATTAAGGGTAGAAGCGGGACATGCATATTCAGCCGATGCGTAAATGTAACAATTTTCCGCTCATCGTGCGTAAATTGCTACAATAAAAAACAAACGTTTATTTATTCTTTTGTCTCTTTTTTCTGAACAGTTTTGTTTAAGCCTCTGCTCAGATTCGATAAAATGTTCACGTAACAATTAGAATAATATGAGATTCGGATTTGTCGCGCGTACAATAATAGTGTTACATGAAAAATAATGTACTATTGTTTTCTTATCATAATTATTATAATTATATGACATTTATTTCACATAAAGATGCATAATAGAAATTGCATAGTAGAATATAATTTATTTTATATTAATGTGTTGTATAAATGTTTCAAATGTTGTGTAATAAACAAATTATATATTATGTGCATGTTGCATGAGAAACTCGTGCAAATATATGATGTGCGCTTTAATAAGGCAACTCTCTTTGAAATAGAATGACTACAATTTGCTCGCAGACCATGATGTATATACATATATTCTTGTTTCCGTCTTCTTTGATTTATAGAAGCGCTCACATTACCATTATGATGAACATGTTACTAATGTTATCTTCAGAAGAAAATACAGAGAGATATGTATGAAATTTTATTTTTTTAAAGGATTGTTTTATATCTTTTTTTTTGCACGATAGGCTATATGAAAATTGCTTTCCTCAAATTATTCAATACTGATGTTTACCACTTTTTTTTATCAGTTTTGAAAAGTTGCTGTTCTAGATTACCTAGTCATTTTCTTTTTTCTCTAATTCTCCGCATAAAAGTAAATATGTGGCTGTAAACAAATGTTTTTTTTATTCGTTACTTTTATTTGTTTCTTTCTTTCGTGATTACGTGATACTGTCGATAAAGCGAGATGTTGGTAAAAAAAAAAAAAAAACATACGCCAAGCTATGAACGTAAACAGTAAAAACTGCATTGTCAATCGGCATTATTGGCGTCGCAATTCTCTGACAATTACCGGGTCTTTTGTCGGGCGTAAAGTCGATTACATGAAAGCGCAACGACTATAATTCAGCCGGACGCGTTCACGAAATTGCCGTTCAATTTGTACAGGAACGTCGAATTCACGCGGTAACTTGTCCGTCGCTCTCTTCAACGTCGGGCCTTTGCCAGCCTATCGATCTACTTCTGAATATGTAGCATTTTCATTGCAATTATTTACACAATAGAGCAAACCAAACAAGAAACAAATTATTTGTTATTTCAACGAGATGCAATGGCGTATATTTTGTACGTGCGCGCGCGCGCGCGCGTGTGTGTGTGTGTGTATATATATACGCAATAAATGATTAAATAATATTGCTTGAACGGTATGCATTGAATTTATAATTGACGCTAATTACAATCGAGTTGCTCGTTACTGGTTAGGAATAATAAATGGCGATCTTCTCCAATTATGTTGCTTTACCCGTTGATTACATCTCACAAAAGCCTTCTAACAAGCGACAGCATATAGTTTTATTTATTTATAAAGACGTTACAAAAGTTTGCGCTGTTGTTGAGAAAATGTTGCACGAAATTTTGCGATAATATTAACTTTTACTTTGTTATATTTTCCGCAGAAGAAACTAAACTGATGAAACATAAACAAATTAATCTACTGTTAAACTTGCGTCAAACGCGCTTCCAGTTACATTCCCGGGGAAATTCTGTTTTTCCAGGAGAACAAACCGAACCGAGCAGTGCATCGAAATGTTGCGGAGATGCGTGTTGCTGGATCCGGCGTACGCGCCTGCATTTCGAGTTCTGGCGAGGATCGCCACTGGTCCCGCAACAGGCGAGCTCCTGAGGCATGTGATACACCTACAACCGCGAAATCCGGACGCTCTTGCCGAGTACGCGTACTGGTTGTACAAGAACGGTGAGTTACTAAACGAAATAAGCTCGGAGTTGCGGCAAGCGGCGAGAAGAACCTTTAAACTCCCTCTGATAGGAGTTGCGACATATAACGTCGACGAAAGTGGAGTAAATTCTCAATCCAAAGCCACTCGCAATTCGCATAGTCGAAATTTGCACTTGCGGCAAACTTGCCTCGTTTCTTCCAGGCAAATGGCTACCCTCGCTCCGGTATTACTTCAACGCTATGGAAATTTTCCCGTCGCACAAACCGTCGCTTATCGGCGCGCTCAGGATCCTGAGGTTGCGAGGACAATCGTCCAGGGTGCATCAGTTTATCATCAGGTGAGAGCGTTTACGACTTTTTCTTGAGTGTCGTTGTATGTACATTTAAAAAATATTATTACAACAACAACGCACCGCGAAATCTCTCAAGAACAATACAGAGTATATTCTAACGGAGTTACGGCGGAGAATATCGCTTAATCGTTCGTGCGAAAGCGTTAGAATAAACGCCGGAGATACGCCAAGTGTTCCATAAGATTACACTCGAGATAGCATGAAATCTACATTCCGGGAAACATCACGACGGTTTCAGATGCGCGACGTAATGTCCAAATTCGTAATTTCCCCGGCACCGACACGGAGAGATCGTGTATAAACACACAGGCTCTTCCCGCGTATTGCGAATTCCGTGCATGCGACGAAGCGTGGCTTAGTCGCGCGGAAATCCTTTCAATTTCAGATGGGCTTTACAGCGTTGCGCGAATCGAGCGGCGGGCTTATTCGCGCGGCAAGTAACTCGGCACGTTAGCGCACACGTCGATTCGCAATCAGCCGACGAATTCAATTTTTTTTTCGCGCCCGAGCTACCCGGATTCGATCTTCCTTTTCCGCGAGGGTTGATTAAAAATTCCAACCGATTTTCGCATTTCACACGGAAACGCGAAGAATACAAACAAAATAATAAAACAAACGGGAGAAGGGAAACAAATTTGGTAATGTCTCGCGAGTTGATGCGATCGTTCAGTCTCAGCGCCGGGTTCTCCATCCCGCCGTTTTATGTACGTGCCGCGTCTGTACGTGCACAGGTAGATTATACGATAACGGGCGCGCAAGCGGCGGGTTTTCGTGTTTTCGCATCGGCCGCCACACCGCTTCGCCACCCATTTTTTCCTCCCTCGCACTGTAATCCTCCCGCGTCCCGCTGTGTGTGCAAATAGCACCTATAAAACACGCACGGTAAATTTGCCGGCGACGATTCGCGTTGTTTTTGCAGCCGGCATCTCTCTCTCTCTCTCTCTCTCTCTCTCTCTCTCTCTTTCCCTGTCTCTCCTGACAGGCTTGCCAGTCGACGGCCGCGAATCGTCGTCCGAGCGTATACGAGTTTTGCAGAGCAAGGGATAGACACGTAGGCGTGGCCCGGGGGATGTAGGAGCAACGGGGCGAAAGGGGGTTAAATTTTGGAGAAACAACGCTCGGAGAGGCGCCGGCGGACAGGCGGTCGAACGGCGAGTGCATTCTCTCGTTCTCCTTCTCGTTTTCTCTCTCTCTCTCTCTCTATGTTGCTACCACATGCGAAATTTCAATATGCATCGTTTGACAGATGTGGCGCAACGCGGTCCGGATTTTAAATGCAAATATAAATCTCCCTACAGTCCGGATTGCCGAGGTAAAGGACGCAAAATCACAGCGGTGTTACCGAAGAGAGAAAAAAAAAGAGAAGCCTCTTGAGTTGTCTAAACTGTTATTTTATAAGCAACTGAATGTAAATAACAAGTGTCGCTTAGATTTACTCTAAATTGCGTGATTGATCACAAGATTTTTTTATCTAATATTCAGTCGATATCTTGACAATATGTTTTTCGAGCTTTAGAATGCTCGGAATGTCGCTTTCTAGATAGATTTGAAGTTTCTTTAGGTTTGTACAGAAATGAGCGCCTATTCTCACACACACAGCTATTATAAATTTATAACGTTTTATCACGTCACCTTGATCAATTCATTGAATTTTATGTGCGCGTTATGCATTTGCAACTTGCTTACTATTTCGCGACATGAATTATTCGACCGAGAAAAGCGTGGAACCCGCGTCTGTGACACAACAGTCTATTCAACGCCGACGACACAAATCATACGCTTGTAAGAGAATTATTATCACTCACACACATACACACATACACACACACATTTCAGAGTTTATTCTTGTGCGTCAATAAACGTGCGAGAGAGACAAAGTTTGAAAGGCATTGTGAAATCCGACGTTTGGCAGTGCCGACCTTGTTTAATTATATTATTTTGAGTCGCGCTCCGTTGTCAATACGACGGAAAGTGTCTCGCGCAAACTTTCTATAACGCGAGAAGGTGGTGCTTCACGTTTCATTTATTTAAAACCAAGCCGAGACGCGCTTCCGATATTTCCAGTTTCCTCTTCGGTTCACGAGAAATGATAGGATTAATTTCTCATAAATTGCCCGCGGTTTTCGTTGATTGGGTCACGGTTTCATTTGTGTGCTCCTCGCTCCGGGACACGCCGTTACCGATCCGAAGTAATTAAGTGTTGCGATCGGCACGTAGTTCGATATCGAGTACCTCGTCCACGTCCGCTTTTATAGACGTGTACAATACGATATTGACACTGTGTCGAGAGAACCGATCGACTAACGTGTGACATATTACGATACCATTTCGAAACGGTTGCTTTCTCTCGGAAGCGGAGTGCCAGAAACAATGGAAAGTGTCGTGTCTTGTTATCGCGCGCCGCGTGCGATACGACAAAAATATAATAAACATAATTTCCTAGTGAACTTACGAAGAATGAAAATAAACTTAATATAAAACTGAACATTAAAACGTGATTATAAATATACACGTGTTTCTTTTTATATAATATATAGAAAAATATATAATAAAAATTATTATTGTTGTTTATGCGTGACAGCAGTAAGAATGAAAAGAAAACACTTTATCATGCTTCATGAAATATGCTCTACCACGTTCGGTACGTTATCGAGACACACCATAGTTTCTTTCCGCCCACATAAGACCTCAGATGCAATTTTCTCAGCCATTGACGAAGGTCTTTCCACTACATTGTCGCTAACAATAGAACTATATTCTATAGAATGTTCGAGCTCGAAATGAACATTGTAAAAAAAAAAAAAAAAAAAATAAGAAATAGACGCGAGCATAATCGTTTTTTTTTGTTACGTTTCTCGTATTTATCGTATCTATCATAAAATTTTTTTGCGGCGGATACAAAAGTTAAAGTTGACACAAGTATATTTAATTATTTTAGCAGATAATATATTCATAATTTTGTGCGTCGCGTGAATTCGTTAACAAAGTAAACATTTATATGCAAAATTTCGTTTTAGTTATAATATCAGAGACTAATCAACATATTTTGTGTGTGTATCTTCACACATATTAAAAGCCTTGTTTATTTATTAATTGTTTAAGTGCAATCAATAGCTTTTTATATAGTCGAATTACTAGCGGCAAATTTAATTAAACTCATATCTGTTATATCTAAATACATGTGTACATATATATACATATATATGCAAACATATATAACACATTAATCAAAAACATATACTCGCTAATATTATTGTGTTCTAGAAATGTTTTCTTTGTAAGTGTACTAAAACCGTTTGATCATCACATATGAAATCGCTTGATTTTCCATCCAATGCGTTTCCATTTCATTTAAAGAATTGCGCGAAATGTTCAATTTCCGAAACATTGACTAAATTACTGCAAAATGCAGAGTCACGCGCAACGCTATCCTCGAAAGTATATATACACCCCCTTCACACACACATACACGTATACATACAATCGGCGGAAAATAATTTTCAAATACTGTGTTAAATTCGTTTGTTTGCCGATCATTAAACTACACTGAATAACTTTTAAATGGGCGTGTAGTATAAGATAAATATTCACTTCGTACATCACACAGAATCAGCGCTGAAGAATTGTAAAACTTCCATTTTCACGTGCATATTGAAGTTATCATATATAATTGCAATTTTTGTTGAAATAAAACCGATATTTGTTCGGAAGCGCGCGCGAATTGATCGTCTAAAATCACATCTGGAATACAGGTCGGCGAGAAAGTCTCGATCGAATGGCTGACACGGTTACGGCGGAAAAGCGTCAAACACTGCCCTCTCGCCTCGCACTCTTTTTACCCACTATCGGACATATAAATTCAGAGAAAAGCCACTGCACAAGGGGATAATGCCACGGGCGCGATAACGTCGTCGCCATTGCGTTAAGCGCTCGACGAGCTGATAAATCGTGAATTTACCGACGCTACCTGTATTTTCGCAGATTTGACCGGGCGAGATGCGCAAAACGTGCGCGCGTACGCGTGCAAATATTTGTTTTTTTTTTTTTTTTTTTTTTTCTGTGAAATTTAACACTCGCACGATAAGCGTCGGGATGAAAGCGACGGTCTGTGTCGCCTGCAGTTCCGCCCGGACGGCGATCGCTCGCGGACCGCCGCCATGATGCATCGTCGCGATCGCGACACACGACCTAGTGTCGCGATCTCGCGCAACAACAGCGCGAATGCATCTCGGGAAAGAAACGAGCGCGCGTCGCAATAATTTTGCATCAACGCGTTTGTCGCTATCGTTTTCCAGGATGCGATATTTACACACCGGCGTTTCGACTCCCGAGCGCTCCGCGACACGGTTCTCTATCTTCCGCTGTAAATAGCGATTTTATAATTCATGGGGCGCCGTGTTTCATTCGGTCTATCGGTGAACCACCGAACGACCGATATGACCAGCGGTAGCCGCGCGTTACCACTTCGTTACAACCGCACACATTGCAGTCGAGCTGCAGTTTATTTCACGCGAATGTCCGCTGGAGGTACAAGCCTCGTGGTCGGCTTTAACAATGCTCGCCGCAAAACTTTAATTCTATCAGAATTTTAATCTTTAAATCCTTTGGAATAAAGCTTTATATAAGCGGCATTTTATTTAGCGGTTCGCACATTTCGAGGCTGCGGCGAAGAGGATAATCTTTATATAATACATATAGTATTGCGCATACCAGCCGGACTTTTCCATACATTATATAACACGAAAAAGTTAAAATTTAATAAAATTGTTCCGATTGTACTCGATGCTCAAAAGTCAGCAGTGATATCGCCGCGCGTGGATTTCTCGAAGTTTTGATGTTTTTTCATTTATCGCTTTAATTCCAGGATTATTTTTACACCGAATTGGACATTTTGCGACTGTTACATGTTACTGTCTCTCGAACGGAATGTATCGATCGATTATAAACTGACCCGATGTGCTCGGAGACACGTGAGATTGCTAAGTCACATCGCGATTACAGTCGGACCAAACGAACGTCAACGTTGTCGTCGTTGTCGGCACGGCAGCGGCGGCGGCGGCGGCGGCGGCGGCGGATCGATATCGGCATTGATAGTGGATGAGGGGTGAAGCTATTCGATATACATAGGCGCGCGTTCGATTAACCGGTAGGAAAACGCCCGGTATTGTCAATGCCTCTGAATCTGCTCTAACTGCGTTCGCGTAAATGTTACGGCCCTGATAACGATCAGGATTATTCGACTGACTGAATGTGCGGCCCGGGACAATGCGGAGAGCGTTCACTTTGACGCCGCAAGATTCATGCTGCCTACAGAACGGGAGATATTCGATTATCGGATTATAATCACGAAAGCGCCGATGTGAATGTACGAAGTTCGAGCTGTATATTTTTGCGTTAAGTAAATGACAATCCATCAGACAGTTTTAGAGCGCAGCAAGTATATAACTACCACACAAAAGAAAAAGATTTATTATTATATGGTCAGCAAGAAAAATTTGTTGAGTCTTCTCTGAAGTTTTCGTTTCATCAACAAAAAAGATTTGTTGACAAAACAAACTCTGAAATTGATAAAAGACACAAAAATGGTGTTACAGTTGTTTACATTGTCATCGATTTCTATACCGTACCAAGTTGTGTGGACAGCATATAAGAGACTGTAAGAGAACGCTTATCATTGTATCATTCTTGTTTATCAACATCCCGTATACTACTCTTTTACGGCTCGTAAACACGATGCTCGAGCATAGCCAGAGAGATCAGGAAAACGGACTTAGGTGCAAGTGACGCGTAAAAACGGGTACGTCGAGCTACGAGTTTATTTTATTGAAGGTGCGAGCGAGGTCGACTGATGCGGCTTGTCGTTGTCAGCACGTGCTGAAGTTCTAAGTGAATTCACTTCTTGCGTCAATTATCGATCGTTCTCATGATTCATATAAAACAAGACTATAAAACAGACTTGTTGAAAGAAATGTTGCGTGCTTCGCATTATAAACGCATTCAAAAGCTTGCTTTAATTTTTTTTCGTACAATATAATTGTAACGAACATAAAACAAGCGAATAGGAAATGAATAATGTGACGCGCGCAAACAATACGAAGCTCTATTTATCTCTTTGTTTCAGATGGCATTTAATGTTACGAGCGAAACGCGGAGGCTTTATCTATCGCGGGGATTTGTACATTCGTGCGTGGGAGCTGCAAAGCGAGTCTCGTCAAAAGGCTCATCAACATCAGCGAAATCTTTGTCTATCGGTTAGTATATTATAGTTTCGATCGTAAAATCGTATAATCTCACATCGGAGATCGTTGCGTGTACAGCGATAAGGTTTCGCGGATTTAGTTCGCCATTTTTCCAACTGCCATCTGCTATCTCCCTGCAAATAACTTCTGTCTGCTTATCGAGACGGGATAATCGTCTAAAAGTTATTACCGCCACGATATGATATGCGATTCTGGTGTTCGCTGCGTCGCTGTGTGTTTCTTCAACCTCCTTGGGATACTGATTAAGATTCCTAGGTCACGTCGTATCGCCATAAATTCTAATTAAATAGATATAGTTTTTGTTCGGTCTCTTTTCTTCAGTCTCTCTTATTTCTCATTCCGGTCTCGTTTCTACAGTAAGTTGGCCCTCGACTTATGTTCCACTCATTAAAGATTTAAGTCGTAAAAAACTTGCTCGCTTGGACACGCGCGCATTGTCCTCCCGTCGTTTTATTCGGATTAAGTCGCTTTTAATAATTTTCACGTGCGCGACGATAATAATCGTAAAGCTGTTTCCCCTCGTTGGGAAACATCGCTTCGTCGGATATTCTTGTGAAGTCACGCAAGAGGATAACTGTAATTTCCTTTGCTTTTTTTTTTTTTTTTTAAATACGCTGGTAAGTTTGACCTGCGTTCGAGTGTTTCAGTTGTTGGAGCACGCACACATATTTTATTTATTTCTCTTTTTTTCGTCGGTCGAATAAAATTCGCGTATAAAACGCAGAACTAAAAGCGTATTATAACCGACATTCCTGTATATACATATACGCTCTCGAAAGTAGAGTCGAGCATGGAAAACATGACATGCACAGTAAGTAAAGTTCGTCAAAGTTTCATAATTCTGAAATAGCATTTAGCCCGGCCGGAGAGACTTCCGCTTTCAAACTGATATTCGCCATTAACACTGTCATTGCTATTCAAAAGCGATGGTACTTAATTAACAACCGTACTTGATCATCCCTTGCTCATTATTTAATTTGTGCGCGATTATATCTCGCTATTTATACCAACTGTTATCGCATATCGTATTGTAGCGATTCATTCATTTCATACGTCACAAAGTGCTTCATATCGAATGTGTACGTCACACGAATCGCATTGCACTTACACTGCGTGGTAATGTACAGCGAATCGCAAATTCCGTTCGAGCATCGACGATTGTCTGTTACAGGAAAACGGATGTTCGAGACCGCGCGTGGCCAGCGTGTCGGTGCAGCTCGAACAAGACAGCAACAAGTCGGAACAGCTGCAACGGGCGCCGCGTTGCAACGTGCGCACTTGCAGGCAGCCGAGAAAAGGAAAGGCGCGCGTGACCGCGCCGACCCTGCTCGTGCAAAATTTTCTGGAGACGCTTTAGTCCGCGCGATTCGGGGAACGGGTTTATCTGCTCGTTCGCCAGCTGAAAACGGGCGACAGAAGATGAAGTGAAGTGGGAGGATGCTTCGACCACCTGCTCTCGTCCGACGACCGTCAGCGACGAAGAAGAGAGTCCTATTATAGTGGAATGCCTGAAATATTTTTCGTATGCCGTGTGTGTTGTCGAAGATCGCAAGCTCGACCCTGTCGCGGAATATTCCCGATATCGAATTGGAGGAAGGTACGCATGTATTATTGATGTCGTTTATACAATATGTGTGTGTCTTCGCGCTCTTTGTGACATCTTGATTAATATTATCCTGTCGATCGGACGGCGATATATCGTGCGTAATGATCTCTCAAAAACTAACGCCGTGAGGAAATAGACGATCGTTCCGCAAATAATTCGAGTGGAATTCAAGCACGCCAATAAATCATATATACGACAGGACGGATGACAATGCGCGCGATGATGAGAATCGAATGCTAGAATTAAATTCCTTGAAAATTATTTTGCCACTTTTAAATTCGTCATAAGGATACCCAACGAGAGAGGACCAAGGGAGAGATTCGAGCGGTTAACCACGCGACGAATGGCTGCGCGAAATTTGTCGCGGGCGCGCGCGCGTCGCGTCGCGTGTAGATTTGAACTCATAATTAAAATATGACATAAAGCGATGTGCGTACAGTCAAGCGTGTGTCTATTTACACTTTCGAAACGTGATAATTGTAATTGGTAATAGAGTTACATGTATAGTACGACGTGTTATATAAATATTCGCTGTCTCTCGTGTGTGCTTTCAACGTTTTTATGGTGTTTGTTTCGATGAAGCGATAAAAAAATGTCATTGTAACGTAATACAAAAAAGAATACACACACAACAGTCTCTTTTCACCAAACAAATATCAAAATAAAAATCGAGAGCACAACATTCGTGAAAAATATTTTGACAAAGAAAACTCTCGGTGGACAATTTAAAGTAGAACTATAGCCGTTAGAAAAAAAATATTTAAAGTAATAATATTGAGTGTGAATATTGTTATATTAAAAAATACTAAGATCTCCTCATTAAGAGAAACAAACATTGCTTAAGAACATTCATAATCTTCATTATTAAACATACGCATATTCATTGAGATATACATTAAGGGAAACTGGCAATCATTAGACTCGCTTACTTTTACATAATAATTGATTGAGAAATTGAAATGTCAAAATGTAGGTCGGAGGTACAAGCAGTCTCTTTTTTTTTCTTTTTTTTTTTCTATCGCTTACGCTGACGATAAAAGCCGTTATACGCGCGAAAAAGACAAAATTGTGCGATGCCGAACTTAATTTTTCTCATGACGATGATAGTAGCACAATGTAAACTGTGTACATAAAGACTCTTTCTCGGATCGTTCTTTGTGTGCCTCTCTCGTGGACACGCAATTTTACGCACGTAAATACACGGTGCCAATACTAGGATAATGAATGTAATACCGCTAATGTGCGGCGTTTGGTATGGCTTTTGTATGAAAACAAAAAAACAAACTTCTGTAAACAATTTCAGAGTAATACATTCTTCGATGAGCTTGGTATGGCGATGTTCTATTGCAAGTGTATCGTAAAGAAGACCGCGAATATTTCTTCTCAATATTTTACAAATCTAATATAAAAGCAAGTAAATTACATTATGCATTTCCGGTTTTATACAATTAATGTATTAAAAACAAATACAACACAGAATTAATTTATTTCATTGCAAATATTTCTGTTGTGCAATGACACGTTAATATTAAAATTATAAAAGCGCGTATTAATGATAAAATTAATGATAAATTAAAATAAACATGAAGTATTTAATATATAATTTCTGACGATAAGATATATTATTAAACTGAACACATGGATAATTATTAAATGAATCAATATGCAACTACCTTTTGATTATCACAAGGTAAACGAATTTGATTGCGCGTCGCTTTACGAATACTTGCAACACTAATTTGCCAAAACTTAATAGAAGACCAATGTACATACTGTATACAAAAGAAAAGAAATGTTACATCGAAAGTTTCGACGGATGCTTAATAAACTTCTCTAATATAAATTATTGTCACGTAATAATCGTTATAACAAACTCAAGTATATAAATATTGGCCATCCGTTTGCAACAGCCTGTGGCACTTTGCAAAACATTGCGAATGGTGAGAAAAGTGCAACGAGAGAGAAACATGCACGAGATCTGAACTATAATGGTATATATGGAAATGGCAATGCATATGTATGAAGTTACATTTTCGGTTTACTACATATATCCCTTTTTCTTTATTTTCCGATGTCCGCGTAGTTCAAATATTTTTATTCCAATTGTTTTCACCGCGATAATCGTTGAATAAAATAGTCGCAAGTTCCATTTTCCTGTAATTACATTAGTTACATCGACCATGCATAATATGGTTTTATAATCACACGACTTATACAAGCTATATATATACATATATATATATATATACATATATAAGTTCCGTTTTATTGTACATTTAATACAATTAAATCGAAATTATTTAATTAATAAAGTTTGCACAAGAAAATTATTTGTTCCATCGGCCAGCGTCAATCAGAGTTGCATAAAATTCGCGCAATATCATTGTCAGCCAAGAGATGAGGGAGCTCTTCCTCAACAAATACTGTACGGATGAAACTAATAAAATAGGAAGTCATAGGAGAGTTGCTCATTAGCTAAGATAAGAGACAAAATACTTGGAAGATTACTATTGGAGGAAGTTAATAATATGTTTAATACTGATATATCGAGGGTGAAGCGGAGTATTCTATTTTTCGTACATTTAAGCCTTAGACGTTTTCCCAGTTTTAACGGAAACTAAAGCATTTAGCGCCACTCACATTTTATTATGAAATTCATTGAGATGTAGCATATATATATATATATAGCCGCTATATATAAAACTTATATTATCCGTGACAGATAAACGTCTATTCTGCTATATTAGTGAGGACAATTTTGTGATATTACGTAAATGATCGAACGCGAAAATGAAAAATGGTCTCTCGAAATTACGTGTTTTATTATCTCGAAATTTGATTTCGTAGCTGCAGGAATTGAGAGCCCCCGTACTTCTTACGTATAAATGATGATCTTCACACATAGCAAATAGAGAGAAGATTAAATTACAAAATATATGTCTTATTTTTTATCGCGTACGGTAGCCTTTCTTTTTTTTTTCTTATCAGGACGTTTGGCCGATCCGACCTCTGATTAATACCGTTATTTATACGAACGGAACCACCGGGTAAAAGCATTTTAATGAGAGCTTAGCGTTCGACATCGATCCGTTCAATAGCAAAAACGAAGGCAAAAAGCGATTAAAACAGATACAAAATTGGAAAATTTGCGGTATTGTTACGGAAGTTCGGTGCCGGGAATTGTACGTGGGCCGTGTATAATTAGCCGCAATTTGATTAGTCTAGGTTACTGCTCGCGCGATAGACCAGTTTGTATATCTAATTACAATACGTTATTACTCATACTCATTGTGAATACACAGCAATTATAAATTATCATAATAAAGTGTATGTTTATATACAATATACCCATATGCGCTTGATTTATGTGCTGGCATCCGACCGCTGCCAATATTGGCGATTCCCGACTACCTCTATACCTAATCAATTATCCAGTTTTCCCGCGTTTAATTATGGTCGTCGGACCAAAATTGCGGTCTCGTCGACCGGGCTACGGCAAATTTACAGATCGCCCTTCCTCTCGCGGGCACGGCAAGAATGGGTCGAACAAACTTCAGCCGGAACTAACATGATAGCACGGCCATAATTTTCATTAAGTGCGTAATGCGCGTATTTATTATTGCGCGATCGCACTGTGATATATACAAATCGCAGTTATATATCAAAGTTACCGCACATTCAAACGAGCATTTAATTTAATATCGTTTAATCGCGCATTTGTTTACGCTCGAAAAGAGAGAGAACCGTAAAATTGCATTTACTTCCGCGTCATACGCAAATATTCTGATTGGATCGAATTTCCCGAATTCTCTCGATTTGTGATTAAAACCGGTTAAATAAATTTGTATCTTACGCAAAGTTTTTTGAGCGTGTGAGGCGTTATGTCGCATGTGCACGCTTACATGCGCGCACAAGAAAGCGTTAATCGCGCCCGTCGCGGGAGAAGAGGAAAACCGTCGAAATAAATAATTGCACGCGACTCTTTTCACGGCGCGAACGAACACATGCACGCGAACACACACCTGAGCAAATCTACCAGACCGTCGGCGCGCAGGTGGTTTTGAAGAGTTGCTGGCATTATGTTCACTTCACAATGAACGCGTACTAACACTCTCACCCTATAGTCGGCAACGCCTGGAAATAATGGAGCCCGCCGCAATGCAGAATTTCGGCGCCCCGGGTAAGTATCGTGTAATTTTAACGGTAAATGCCGGCGGTTTAAGCGCGCCACAATTGAAATAACCCTTATTTTGTCCCGCTATGGAATGTCGACGTAAGAGGCAAAGCGGGTAGGAATAGAAATTCTGAATTTTGCATTATTACGTGTCGCGTTGTATTTTCGCGTCTGCGCCGCTTCTATTACGTTAGAACATTTTATTTATATAATGAGACCACACATCTACAGACAATTTTCTCATTAAACTTTCTGGTGCGCGATTTCGCCAATATTTTGTAAAAAGGGATTGTATGACCGCGTTTCGTATTTCGGTCACGTAAAGCAAGTAAATCGCGCTCCTTGCTACGAGATCTTTGAACTTGCGCAAAATTCTTCTCTCGTTATAACGTTCTTCCGCATCGTTGGAAGCAACAGAAGAGCACCCAGGAATCCCTAAGGCCGGCGACGGCTATTCCTTTTCTGTACTTCGAATATACGCTCAATTGACTCTTACGACTCTATATGTAAAACTCTCTCTTTTTCTCTTTTTTTTTTATGTAATATAACAAGAAAAAGAGAGAAAGAGAGAGGAGCTTACGTTGCTACAGCAAGATGTACGAAAGCATTCATAAATGCATTGTGCGCGCCGCCGGCGTTGATTTACATTGCGCGCGAAAGTCGGCTCTGTCACGTTTTCGATAGGCGGATTTGCCCGATAATGGCGGGCGGATTCGCATGATCCGGCGACCACGTGGGAATACGAATCCGGACATTATCCTGGCGCACCGTGACGGCTCGGTAACCTAGAACGGATGAATGTGCGTCCCATCGAGTGCAGCTACGTGATCCGTATGCGTCCCGAGACACGCCTTCCCTCTGCCTAATGACCCTCAACCCTCTTACCGGGGATCTTTTAAACGTTGACGTGCGGTTTAACGGCGTGCGGCCGACAGCTAACAGCGCATACACGAGATCAGATTCCAATGTATTGTAGGAGACAATGGCCAACTCGCGACTGATTGTGAGACGAGAAATTACACTCCCTCACAACGTCGAATGATATAAATTTCGATTTATCTTCTATCCTTGTCGAGCGATAACGTTCCGATACATCACCGAAATCATATCGGCGAATCTCTGATTAAACCATTTTCGACGTACGCGCGCTCCTTGTTTACGCGAATGCACGGAATCCTTCGCGGTTGGTTATGCCGATCTATTATCTTCCGTGTAAAGCGGATTTGCGTGCGAATACAATCGGTCCGGCTAAATTAACGACCCCGCACTTTCCATCCTTCGCTACATGCATATATGCCGCGCGCGGTGATGCATCGTAGTTACGATAAAACTCTCCCGAGAGCCGTGCTCGCGTCGCCGCGATATTAAATCGCGACCGTCGCTTATTTTTATCTACCCTCGTAAAAAAAACCTCGGGGAATCGTGACGCATTAGAACCACGTATAGAAACAAGTTGGCCACGAAAAGAGAAGAGAGTCTCAGTGGTGCACGACCGAGAAAAGTGTGGATGTCGACACACGTATGTGTCCGCTAAGTTATTACCTTCTTTTATTATCGGTAACGTTCCTACGTGTATCGAATACGCAAGTTATTTGTCGGCCGCTCTGTCCCCTCGGGGCTTTTTATTCGCCTGACAGCATTTTATTTCTATTACCCGGGAAGTGGACCGGCGAGAATTGGCCGCGTGACCGACTCGAAAAACGGCGACACTTTCCTTTCGCGATGAACTTCGAACGATAGCGCACCTCAAAAAGCAAGCGGACTGCGAGTATTCGCAGCGGAACAAGTGTGAGACGCGAATGGAATACGCGGTGCGGGAAATATTATTCTCGAAATTTTTCGAGAAACACTGTCTTGTAAATCAATTCATTTCATTGAATCAATTGCAACGCTCGAAATATTTTTACATGTTGCCACATGTGTTGTCAACAAAATACTGTAAAATAATATGCAATTGTAATTGCATAAAGAAATTTATTATTTTGTTACGCGGTTCTCTTTCTCTTTCTTTTTCGATAAAATTTATAATATGCAAATCTATTCTAATATTAATGTCGAAAGCAGAGCCAAATAAATAAATTTTTGTTAGGCAGATGCAACTCCGGTGCGTAAACAACCGATTTACTGCTACGTTCTTTCGTTCGAATTACTGAAGATTTATGTAATAGAAAAAAAAACACCATGCCATTTCGATGTATAATTGACCGGATTTAGCGTGCATTAAATTGCATTCGAAAGTCCGATTAAATTTGCTAGCGTGTATGACAATATTTTTGTTGCATGTTTTCGCGCGCGTTGCATCGAAAAGTCGATTTGGAAAACGAAACTCTATTTTAACAGATTCAACGAAATCTCATCGTGTTCTCTCTCTCTCTCTCTCTCTCTCTTTCTCTCTCTCTCTCTCTCTCTTTCTCTCTCTCTCTCTCTCTCTCTCGAGGAAACGACGTTTTATATTCCACCTACGCGTGTATCTATATACGCACCGACTACGAAGAGGCTGCAGGATTTCAATTTTGTCGGAGAGCAAATATTGTTCGGCCACCCGAAGAATTTCTCTCTCGTTCCATCTTCCACTCTCCCTTCTCGCGCTCTCTCGTACGGGGGTGCTTATTGCGCTGTACGTAAAGTCAAACGTATACGAAACGAAAATGGTCAAGGATGAACCGAAGCACGTCAGACGAGTGTATTTTCCCAAGTTTCTCGCTAGGAGGCTGTCACGTCTTCACGTAATTAAACTTCCTGGCCCATCAGAGCTACCTGAGACTCATCCAAACACCGTCTAGGAGCCTGCAGCGGCTGTCTTTACACGCCAGATTCAAAGCGCATGTCACGGCGAAGAGAGACGAAGAGATATATATTTTGAGCGCGCGCGGCAGCTTTTAATTTCGCCTTCCCGTCTTCACGGGTTTTTGCCGTCGTTGACTGTCTTAGCACTCGCTCGCGTTAAGAAAAGTAATTCGATTTTCCTTTGTTTCGCGCTAATTGCTAAATGAGTTAGATAATTTTAACAGAGAGATATTACAAAGTCTTTTAATAAAATTCTGTCGTGCGCTACGACGTAACAATTTGGCAGGTTTTTATAATTTTATAGTAGAATCACAAATAAGTAGTCTAATTACTTCCATAATCAGACTACTTTAATGCATTGTTAATGTAATCTCGTATGAATCGATTTCTTCTCTTCGTTTTTTAGAATAAGAACGAGAATTGTTTAAATTGTTATCGAGATACATACGTGTGTTAAATTTCTTTTAAAGTTTTTCCATATAAATATTTTATAAAACGTTCGATGTCTCGCGGAGGAGATTAAAAGGTTGAAAAAAGCTATAGAAAAATTATCCAATAATGTAAGGCATCACGCGCACATATGAAACGATTCGTGAGAACACGAAAAAAGAGTCGCTGCAATTGCAGAGGAGTCGGACAGGAAAATGCCGGTACGCTAATGAGCCGTTAATGGTAAATAAATGGACCAGCAAGCTTGCCTGCATTGCACCAGCCCGTGGGACGTGACGTCAGCTCTACGTCACCGTTGATTAATGAGCGAGCTTTGTTCCTGCCGAGGTCAATTACATCCATCCCCGAGCTTACCCTTTCTACCGTGAATTCACGACTGCAGGCTTCGCCTTTTGATCTAAATTTTTTTAGCGCGACACAAACTTGCGCTCTCACAGAGGCAAATATATTTCTTCACTTGAAAAAAAAAAAAAAAAAAAAAAAAAAAAAACGAGGCAAGAAATTTCATAACGTGTTCGCAGATGCAGGCGCAAAAGAGATAACTGCAAGCTGTTTTATGATGATTTCAAAACAAATCGGACTCTCTTGCACTCATTAAACAAGTTAATCAAATTCTTTACATCTGTATTGTAACAAAATATAATATATTTCAACTGATCTATACGGCGACACATTCCGGAAACGACTCTTATGTTTCGCCTCGTTTGTCAAACTAAAGCTTGCACATCTCTCTCTATTCTTCTCACCTGCCAATACACACGTTGTCTATAATCTATTAGCGATTGTTAGAGACAGCGCTTTGTCAAAAACCTACAATAGCTTACATTTACGTATAAGTAGATTAGTTTAAGACAACTTACTTGAAATATAAAATGTAAA